GCCAGCGCTGCAGGCTCCTGGGTTTCCAACAGCACCGGCACTGCGCTGGCAGCCGCTGGCCTTGTAACCGCGGCTGGCCTCCGGCGCAAGGCACGCGGTGCTCGGGCGGCGAAGACGGGCCCTGTTGCCACCGGGCTGTCCAGCTCTGTGGGTGAGACCTACTTCCGCGATCAGTTGGTGGCCTGCCGCGCGCAGCTGAATGGAGTGGAGGCTCCAACGCTGGAGGAGACTGACCAGCACATCCAAGATGTGCAGAACTTTGCCAAGCAGGCGCTGGCAGGAGCTGCGGCTGCCATGGTCTTCACTTCCTCCATGGAGTCTGCGGTAGCTTACCCCATTTTCGCGCAGCAGAACTATGCCAACCCACGTGAGTACACGGGCAAGATTGTGTGCGCCAACTGCCATTTGGCCTCCAAGCCAATCGAGGTTAGGATCCCGCAGGCGGTGTTGCCAGATACCATCTTCAAGACCGAAGTGGAGATCCCTGCCAAGTATGCCAAGCGCCGCCAGCCCATCGCTGATGGCTCTAAGGGCCCCATGAACATTGGAGCCATTGCCGTGATGCCAGAGGGCTGGAAGCTGGCTCCCAAGGATCGTCTGCCAAAGCCATTGAAGAAGGAGATGAAGGGCCTGGCCTGGTCCGCTTACAGCAAGGAGTACCCCAACATCGTGGTCGCAGGACCGGTGCCGGGCGAGAGCTACGAGAAGATGGTTCTGCCTGTCCTGGCGCCTGATCCCAACACCAACGACAAGGTGCTTTTCGGCAAGGGCATCTTCTACTTCGGCGGCAACCGAGGTCGTGGCCAGGTCTACCCAGAGGGCAACCAGAGCAACAACAACCAGTTCTTCGCCGTGGCAACAGGCACCGTGACTGCTGTCGACGGCTTGAAGGTCACCATCACGACCCCATCTGGCGAGGCCAAGACTCAGGAGATGCTGCCTGGTGCTGACATTGTCATTCAGGTCGGTGACGAGGCGGGCCAAGGCAAACAAAAAATCAGACCTGCCTGCCTGTGCATAAGACAAGGAACAGAAAAGCAGTGATGCGGAAGCACTTAGAACATCCGACAAGAGCAAGCCCTTAATCGATTCACAAGTGTTCAAGAGACCATGCGGCACAGTCCGGCACAGCATGGTATCATACAGTTCCAGGTGGAGAAGGATGAGCCGATCACCACCAACCCCAACGTCGGCGGATTTGGGCAGGAGGAGAAGGAGTGCATCCTTCAGGATACTCGGCAAAGACTTCAGATATCATTACCTGTGGTGCTGCACATTGTGGATCACTGTAGACTTTGCCACGCCAGAACGTTCATGTCTTCAGATCTTTGTTTGAAGCATGATCATGCATGATGATGTGGTTGCCCCAGGACATGAATCGAGTCTACGCCTACTGCGCCTTTGCTTTCTCCTGCTTCATTGCCCAGCTGTCCTTCGTCCTCAAGAAGAAGCAGTTCGAGAAGGTGCAGCTGGCGGAGGGCTTCTGA